GAAAGCGTTATGCGGACGTAGAGGCCATTCAAAAGGCTTGCACCGGCATACTGGCGGCCATACCGGCCAACGAGCTAAAACACTCGTTCGACATGCTTTGGGATCGTGCAAAAAGCTGAAGGTGAAGCAAGAGGAGACTATTTTGAATAAAATAAATTGATTTTGCTGAAAAAACCATTTATTCTGTTTTTTTTTAAAGTCCTGTTTACTTTGGAATACACCGTCTGTCCGCCCGTATGAACACCTGGGTCCCAGAGACTACAATAGAGACCCACAATTTCGTACACATGCCCTATGAACGCTTTCGGTAATACTTGTATATGAGAGAGATACGATTTTTGCAAAGAAAAATGTCAGAAGGCCCCACTGTGCGCCGGTCGTATAATCCATAATAATGTCCCGGAGACTATAAGACCCTGATACACAAAATTTTAGTCCAGGATGCCTGATACGCAGAAAATCTGTATTTCGGAATTTCCCTCCTTTGCCCTTCCGCATTTAGCGATTTTCCATAACTCCATAACTGAACAACAACTATGTAGTTTTATTAATTAATTTCCGCTTTTGCCGCTATTTGTTGCAGGTTGTGTTGATGTTTCAATTTGATTTTGATCTTTATTCACTGGTAATGTCTGCCACTTAACCTGCCTGCAGGCAATGGATATTCGTGAATAAAAGATTAATTATATTTATTAATGGGACAGCGATATGATTTTACAATATATATTTATTAATAGTTATTCGAAACGTCGATACGACATCGGTATTACAGTAGATTAAAACCAGTAGATTAAAACCAGCGACAAGGAGGTGCCTGGCTAGTGTAACTATTAACCTTTCATGGTCTCTAGATTTAAATCATGGTGCAGCGTGAAATCGTGGACGTACCAATGACAGTTAGTGAAAAGCCATGAGGCTTTCGGCACTACAACCCATTTACTGGCTCAGCATTCCAGCAGATGGAGGTTAAAATGACTTTAATCTAGTATTTTGGGCGCTTCTAATGTCATTCAAATTTAAGCCCCAGAAACGAATTCCCATTTCTCTGAATGTAATTTAAATGAAGATCACTCCTCTACTCTCTTAGGTCGCCCTAACTTTTCAGTTCCTTGTAGACCAACAAGGCATTATTTTCCATCCATCTTGTCTAGATGCACAACTGACTACGCTGTGCACAATCGTTTTCGTGTCATTTGTTCTTATTACTCGTAAAATGATCTTTTTCATTTACTCACAACAGAATTCTCTCTAAATCCTATCAAAATATGTGAGTCACTTGTATGTGAGGCATAACTGGCCGGACTGACAATCAAATATTTTCCTTTTTCTCTTTCTGTCAAACTTCGCCTAGATAGCTCTTAAGTAGAATTAAGTTAAGTTTAAGTTTAAGTACCCTAAGGGTAAAAGGTATATTAGTTTTGTGCGAGTGTACATGGTACATACAGAAGGAGGCGTGGTAGACCCCACAAAGTATATATATTCTTGATCAGCATGACAAGTCGAGTCGATATAGCCATGTCCGTCTGTCTGTCCGTATGAACGCAAGGATCTCCGAAAGTATAAGAGCTAGAATAACCAAAGTTGGTATCCAGATTCTCCTAAAACCGAGAAAGGACGACTTTGTTCAATTTTTCGGATGCATCCCCCACTCAACCCCCCCAATCTATTCAAGATTTTCTATAACTCCCGTAATTCTTGGAATTTTGAAAAAAATTTGGTAGTCACCTCCAGTTAATGATTATATATCCGTATACCAAGTTTAATTATGATAGGTTGATTAGAAAGAAAGTTATAGCCATATAACCAGGCCCACTTGCCGCAGCTGTATTTGTTGCTGCTTTGACATGCACACATACATATGTACAAGTACACCAACACGAATAGAACCGATTCTGATGTAAATATTTAATTTTATATTTAATTTAATTAGTTAATTAAATTTTTTTAATACTTTTTTTTTGTGGGATGGTACAGGGTATTTATGCTGGACTTTAGTATTCCTTTCTTGTTTTTAAGAAAAATGTTTGACGTGCAACATTTCTGAGCGACATGTGTTCATGAGAATTATAATGATATACATTGTTACAAAAATATATGTACATATGTAAAAGACCTACGAACTTGATGCAACACCTGCGTACAAGATTATATAATGCAGCTTACGTCAACGCTGCGGTACTTTGTAGTACAGAGGAGCACGTGCTACTGTGTCAATATTGCGAACAGCTGGTGGCGCGTAAACAAACGCCATATGTTGGCAGTGAGAGCGCAAGGAGAGAGAGAGAGAGACGGCTTAAATTGTGAGCAGAGCTTTGATGGTTAGATAAATGTTACCGTTTCGCTCGTAGTAAAGGTGAGAACTCGACGTCACTTTCATTCACAGTTGAAGCTTTTATGCTGCGAAGACGATTCTTTTGGCGAGCCTGCTTCAGTTTGCCGTGGCAAGCCGAAGCTCAAAGTTCTCGTCGCTGCTCGTGGGTCGTGTGGTTGCCATTGTTGCTTGCTCTCAGTTGGCAGTGCTATTAAAACGTCGCGCGCTTTGTACCACACACTCAGTTTGTTTGCAAACGGCTGCAGGATAACATCGTCGGTTCTGTCTCCGTTTGTGTGCACGACTTTCGCGTTTGTGCAAAGACCAAAAAATTTTGATTGTAAGTCGCATTGTGTAATAATTCCGCCCGCCGTGTGTCGCGCGCTCGTTAAAATTAAATTTTAATAAAAACGCCAACGGTGTGCAACTTTGTAAAAGGCTTTTGTGTTGTGAAAGGGCGACTGAGTGAGTGTCCTCTGCTTTGCCCAGCAGCGTCTCTTCTTTTTTATTTTCTGGCAACTACGCGGCGGCTACGTGATTTTTTATAAAGTGCCAGCCAACAGCGGCAACAGCGGCCAATAAAAATAAGAAAAGGTGCGCGTGCTACATCCGTCAATCGTATCCTTCACACCCAAACTCACAACAGCGACCTACAACCCCTTCGGCCACTTCATCCACGCTTTGTTTGTGTTTCATTTGGCTGCCTTGCGCTGCTGTTGTTGTTGATGTTTTTCCTTTTTATTTTTTGCGCCATATGCAGGCCAATGTGCAGGGTTTTGATTTTTATTGCTGCTACAGTTTTAGCCTCTTGCCTGTTTTTATATTATTTTCTGTTGTTGCTGTTGTTTTAAGGTTTCGGTTGTTACAGCTGCCCCCAACTCTTGCATAAATAATTCGCCAGCCTAGTGGTGCAATAAAAGTGAAGCGTCTTTTGAAATATTGAACAAGCGATTGCCGTAAATTGTGTCATGTGTGTGCTGTGGTGCCGTGTGTAACACATAAGAATGATACTCGTACTTCAAAAGTACAGAAGAAAGACCAGGAATTAATCGAGGGAACTGGTGATATCTGCCCTTTCAGTGATATGTGCAGTTTATTGTGCTTCGTTGTGATATATAAATGAATAAATTGCATATGAAACTGTATTCAATACACTGATAAAAACTTTAAGACAGTGCTAATACTCATACAAATATAAAAAAACATATATTTTCATTCACATTAGAATGTAAACATGATTATAATTTTCAAGTTTCCCATGGTTATTTTGTCTAGTAGACATTAAATGCGAAAAATTATGCAACCGACTTTCAGTTTCAATAGTATATTATTAGCAAATGGCACGGCAAATTAATAAATTAATGAAAACTGGCGTTAAATAAAGTATATTTCGTTTTCGTACTTCCTGAACAACTACTTTAATGAAAGATATATCACAACATTTCTTATAATTTGTTTTCGCTATCATAGCTGTAGAATAGTCGGATATAATTTTGGTGGGTAGAATATGAACTTTTCTAAGTGTTGAAATATGTTCATTTATTCCTAAAATATACCAAGTTCCATGTTTCTAACTTGCACTTTTTTTCGCGAAACTCATCTGTGCCTCTTTTTGCTGCATAACCTCTGACCAATATACATACTCTACATGGTGGAATAAATGACACAAAAATGAAAGTGACATCAAATATTCAACCAAAAATGGTGTCCCATATATCAGCGGAGCACACGTTGACCTCCAAACGCACTAATTGCTGCAATTTTTCAAGCTCTAGAGCGCACATTCCTCATGCAGGAGCCTGCTGTTGACTTTGGCCGCTTCTGTTACTTTCCTTTGTTTTTCTATGTGTTTGCGGGTTTCCATTTGGGGACAAGTCACTTGCTTGGCATCCGTTGCCAATTTCAGCGGGAAATGTGGAAACGAAAAATGTGCCAAATTGTGGCCGTCGAAGTCCTTGACTTGTCAGAATTTTAATGAAGAATGATGCGAAGGCATATAACATTTTTATTTTCCCTTCATATTTCACCTTTTTGCGGGAAATTGTGGCCGATAATAAATGTTGGCGAAAATATTTTATGGCTTATGCTTCTTACTTAATTTATAAAACTTAGTTCTGGCAATTATCATGCGTGGCGTATGCGTAATATTTGACCCAATTAATGTGTAAATTGGTTTTTAATTAATAACAAATATTGCATAAAATGTCCTGCTCTATTTAAGCTGTATGCAGTGCAAAAAAGAAAAAAACATGTATACAACCGCACAAAATTTATATTGAAAATTTTTCAACAATTCCATTCCATTGCAATGCATTGCTTTTCTTTTTGTTACACAAACACACAGACACACACATATGCACTCAAATACCATAAAATAATATATTGTGCAGCAGGAAAAGACCATAAAGAACAACACAATAATAACAAGAGAAACAAAAACGCATTAAGGCATTCCATGAAATGCAATAATTCAAATGATAATAAAAATGCAAAACATGCGCCAATAAATGAAACAATCAATATCAATATAGAAAATTCATTGCAACAAAAAGCTCATAACGATATAATAAAATATATAAAAGTGGTGCATATTAAGTGTAATATGTGTTAAAGTTCAAAGTGCAGGAGCATGATGAACATGAAATCATTGGGATATAATCAAAGCCAGAGATCAACAATCGCCGTCAACATGAAGAACAATAAGAAAAGTAAAACCAACAATAGAGGATGTCTGGGCTTGCTGCTGTTTGCCTTGCTGCTCCTGCTCGTGGGCCAATCTCATTCGGTGCCATCGCCATCAATTCAGACGCCCCAGAAACGAGGTGAGTCATAGCAGTTTAAGGGAAGAAAATTGCAAATAAATGTCATGCAGGGCTTCAGCACTAGTGAGTTCTCAATAGAAATAGGGTTAGCTTTCAACTTTTTCTAAAGCTATGAGTTTATTTTATTACCATTGAAGTTATTGAGCTTGAAAAATGTCATCGTCTCAGAATTAAGGGATTTTAATATTTTAATTTCTATTGTTCCTTTTAGAATATTCTGCGCATTCTAGCTTTTTTTTTATAAATAATGCATTTAATATTAAACTCTTTGGAGCTTATTCTTCAACCATTAAAAGGTAAATAAGCTTTTGAAATGAGTCGCTATAACAGGATAATGTTATTTCTTCTATGATATGAAAACAATCTTTGGAAAATAAGTTCGCAAAAATATTTAAATTTAGGCTGCTGTTCAAGTTGAGCTTAAAGAACGTTTGAAGAATACGTTTACCCTACATTAATAAATTAAATTAATTAAAAAAATTAAAAATTAAAATTAAAAAATAATAAATAAATTAATAAAGATGAAGCATATATGAACCTATATTTTTTAGAGCTTTATATTATTATCCACAGTTTGCATCATGTGAAAGATTGTTGGACTTAATCCATTGTTGAGTGTTTATTAATAATGTGTGTTTAATATTGAGCTTACAAGTATTATCTGTAATTATTCCCAAATAGAAGAGTATTTGTGAAGTTGTACCAGGAAAATAGTAAATGAATTTTTGGATGAATTGCTGTGGTATTTGGTGGTGTTTTGAAGCTACTTACGGTAGCCAAACATACATATATATTAATTTTTTTGATCCTCTAAGTAGAAACTGATTGATATCAAATAACAGCTGGCTCCATTAATCTCATATGAAGGCTCAAAAAAATTGCTTGGACTTGCAATTCTGATCGGCAAAATCAGTGCCAACTCACATTTAGAAACATTTGCTGTGGAACTGACAAATCCAGATACTTTAGTCTGCATTTTCTGTGCAGTCGTACAAGTATATAGTGTATTTACGCGTTATGTTTATGAAAAAGTCACATAGATATTGCGTATACGCATTGCTAGCTAACTTGTCGATGACAGCTCCAGTTTCCTTTACTGACATTCCGCGGCGGAAAATGTATTAACATTGCAACGCTCACCCTTCTGACAAGACATTTCTTAGAGCTATGGGTTAAGCTTGTGCCCTCCTGGGTTGTTGCTTCCTTTCCTAGAAAATGACATAATGGAAAATTGAATTGCTTTGGAGGCAGGCGCGAAAGTCTGGCGATTGCGTTGCCTGGTTATGGTCTGTGCAAGTGATGCAATTATGGTGGGATGAGGAATCCGTAATTGAGGCCACTAAAATGTAAATGTGAAATAAAATGAGTGTTAGGAAAAAATGGAACATTATTATTAGATGGGGATGCGAAAAGGTGAAAGTAAATTGCTTTCTGCACAATATTCTTTTTGGTATAACTTATTAGCAATAAAAAGTTAATTGAATTTCAAATGGCAGGAGGTGTTTCTGAAATACTAATTTTGTGCTTATGTTAAAATAAAGAGCAGTATAGTTACGTATCAATTTAAGGACAAGATTAAATAACAGCAAACTAATTATCTACCCTTCATTCTGTCCATCAATGAACTGCATTGCCAAAAACGTTTAAATTTCTTTATTACTCTTTTATAACATAAACATCGACACTGTCAAGGCATAGCTATAAAATTTAATTTAAGATTGGAAAACATGGATTTCTTACGTTTTCTTTTAAAGACAAAGCAACTTTAATTTGCTCCTATATTTTCTTTAATCCAAAGCTAAAATTTGGTATTGGAGTTAATTTGCCTCATAATAATAATAATTAATAATAATTAAAAAATTTCGCCTATGAGAGAATGCTGTTATTAGGTTAGGAATACTTGTAATTTAATATACCATGCTGTAATTAAAAAATTGTAACTAAAGGCTATGGTATATGTTACAAAGTCCAATTTTCCCAGCAAGAGGAATAAAAATAATAATGAAAAAATATTATATGTTATAGAAAACTTATAATGAAAGAATACAAATAATGATTTCTGAAAAACAAGATGCAATTCTTTATAGCAGTAACATATAGAAAAAATAATAAAAATGTTTACATATTCAATAATTATTTTTCTCGAAATCTAAAGATAATATCCTTCTCATTCATACGAGTTAATGGACAGGAAATAAAATGCGAAAGTTTGATATAACGGCTTTCAAATATCTATCAAATTCTGTTAAATGGGAAGTCATATTCTCCAAAAAGGACTTTTGTGTTTGGCTGGAGAATGGACACAAGGAGAGTTTGTTGTAAAATAATATTTTAGATTGAATATATATGGAATACCAAAAAGAGTGCTTGCTTGATTAAAATGTTCAGATGAGTGGTTGTATCCATGTAGATCATAATTTATTTAGGAGGTGTATGTTTATGAATTACAATATTTCAACATAGAAAAATTATGGACTGAAACAAATATTCTTTAATTCATTTGAATTTATTCTAACTTAATATACTTTGTGGTCGTTTACCGTATTTACTTATATTGTTTAATGTTCACTTTATGCCTCAAAGTAACGCAAAGCAATAATAAGGACTAATTTGTACAATTCAAGCTGGCTTATAAAGTAAAAGGACAGAGCAGGTGGTGAACATATTCTTGTTCATCGAAATGTAAAGCAAGTATGCATGCAGGAGAATATAGTAGGTACTTGGCTAAACTTTATTTTTGAAGTCTCATCAATTGCCCGTCGTTTAGCAAAATAGAAAATGACACAACTCTGTTTGAAAAAGGTGGATTCATCATTGAACTTCTAGTAATATACTGCCAATAGTAAGTTCGAGGTTGTTTGCCTCGCAATCACTGAACCTTTCCAAATACTGTATCATGTCGGCTGCTACAATTGGTTACGCATTTTATATGCTCCACAGCTCATAAAACTTTAGCTAGCCCACAAGTATCTGGAAGTTGACGCTCAAGTATCTATAAAGTTCATTTCACCTATAAACTGTGCCCACATTGGATTAGGAAAAATTTATGATGTCATGCCGTAGCAGCAGCAGGAACTTCAGCACAAATGCCAAAACTTATCATATTCATTCACAATTTTTTGTCTCCTTGCATTGTCATATACACCGAGAAACTTGTAGTGGGGTTCTCGTACATACAAACAAAAGTTTTCGCCTTGTATTTACGACAATGTCGCGTCAGGTTTTTTTCTATACTATATACACTAAAGAAGTAACTTTTTTTCCCATATAATAAAATGAAGCACGTTGTTGTGTGTAAGTGTTTGTATGCGTCTGTGGGTGGCCCAAAGTAAACTCCTTGCCTTGGTTACAGCAAAGATGAGCAACTAAGTTGCCAGCTAAAAAGAGAAGCAACGCGGCTTGCCAGCTGCCATCTATGGCACAATATTGCTCCCTGGCGTAAAATGAAAGCAAAAGTTCACAGACCCGGGCAGTCAAGCACGGAGGCAGTGAGGCAGTCAGGCAGCCAACGAGGCAGCAATCCAACCAGCAGCCAAAGGCGCAGCGCGCAAATAAAGTCCACAAAACAATGATGGCGGGGGAGGGCCGGAGAGGCGAATCGGCATCTGTTGACAGCACGTAGAATTTTGTGCTGAGTTTTTGAGGTTCGCTCAATTTTTGTGTGTGTCAGTTTTTACTTTTGAGTCGGTGTTAGCATTTACTTTTGCTTAATTTTATGTATTTTAAAGTTGTCGTACCAATTTGCCAATAAAGAATTGAAAACCAACATAGAAGCGTGTCTTTTGACGCGAACTTAAGAGGGTCAATTCTTCGAAGAGAAAACCACGGTATTGTTTAAAGACACAATAACATTGGTTGTGAAGTTAGTCAATAGCATCAGACTTTAAAGTCGTTACAACAGTAAAAGTGCAACTAATATGAGCAGTGTCTGCGCACTTTTCCAATCTATTGTCTTGGCAACTTCTTAATAACATAATAATTTAGTGTACTAGCGGATTTGAATGATGCATAACTCTAACAAAATAGTTATATTTCGTCGATTAATCAATGGAAACTTCCTGTTATACCAGCTTCTTAATGAAAATTAAATTCTGAAGTATTATCAAGTATTTATCTGAGTATATTAAATCTATTTTAAAACAGGTAATTCATCCATTTTTGAATGTTGGAGTGAAAATCTTAATCTTTGGCAGATCTCCCGTCAGTAGGGAGATATGTTACTGTTGGCAGTTATAAGCAAATAAATCAGAACATAAAGCAATTGAAATAAAATTCAGTTAACAAGCGAATGTCTTATAGCCTGATATTCTGATAGAGTTTCTTCAAAAGCTTAACACAAAGGGACTTTAACGCAACTCCTGGTCTTTCGTGCCTTAATACTCCTTGAATTCCATGCATTTATACACATAAAGGATGGGATGGTGTTCCACTAATTAAATAAGGGATAATACATATTTGATCAGTTTTTAATATTGTGGTCATCAATGGCTAAAAGGTACGGATTAAGGTGGAGCAATCTTTTTATTAAATACTTGCAAACGCGAGCAACTGTCATCCATTGAGTATTAATCAATTATTGGTTAAGTCCGATAAATACCGAATTTCATTTTTTTTAAGCTATCTCAGCATATACAAACAAACAAACATTTTTATAAAAAATTAAAACTTAGAAAAAAGACCATAGAATTAATTAAAAGCTAATTCATAAAAGTATAATGAATGAACAAATGAAATATTAGTTATAAAAGGTCGTACACTTTTTACAAGCATTTCTTTTAAAAACGATTTATTTTAAGGAAGCATCAGCTAATATTAGTAACTAGACTATACGCCGTACCTCAAAGAAACGTTTCAGATAGTAAACCTCTACGACGGTCATGAGCAAGAGCATCGTGGGTCCCAGCATGGACCAGGCCACGACCCGAAAGTGTGTGTTTTCGCTGACCCCCTGGTGTCCAGTGTAGCGCACGTGCATGTATTCCTGCTCCTGCTTTACTGCAAGCATCTTGCCAGACAGAATATTGACCATTTCCTGGACCATAACCTGCTCCATGACATCGTCGTGGCGCAATGAGGGATCAATGTAGTAGGACAGGGCGCGGATTACCTTCAACTGGAACATGACGATCTTGGGCGTCAGAGTGGAGCGTCGATTGTCGAAGCATAGAGTATGACTGCCATTTTGAATGGCCGTAAAGGTGTAGATGCCGGTTGTTTCCTTGTTGGCCTGGTAGAGCACGTCCTCGTTGGGACCAGTAATGCGAACTGCAATGTCTAGAAAGCCGCCCTCCATCACCTCAAAACTAATGCTAAGCTTGTCGTTGACGTGTGCCATGTCAAAGAAGCAAACGGTTTCATGAGCATCGACGGTTACAGTGAAACCACATGCTGTGTGAGGCAGCAAGGGCAGGAGCCAAAGGATCAAGTAGAATAACATGTCGTAAAATGGGTTTCGAAATTTATACAAAGTTGTGTAAACCAATCGGCATGTGACAAACAAGCTTCCAGGCCTGCTATCTCTGTCGAATAATTAAGTGCGCACGCAAGCAAATTAAATGCCACGCCCGTGTCAATTTCAATTAGAGACACTCAAAATAAAAACTACACAAGCCCAAATATGTTGAACTTTAATTAGCCACAGCAAATACGAGTAGTTGCACGCACATCCTTGCCCACACTCTATATAGATTCTATGTTAACTATATACAAGTATAAATGTATATATAGTTTGACTATACATACATAAGTATGTATGACTCGTAAACAGCGTCATGCAAACAACGACAATTACATTATAAATAATTGATTTCTGTGCTAATTTGCTGTACCTTATTGTATGGTTTTGCTCGCGTCTGCAATTTTGCACTGCTCGCCGCCACCCACAAAGGCAAATACACTTCAAATCAAATCAACTTGATAAAAGCAAATTACAGATTGACAGTCCATTCCTCTGGCGCCTTCAGCTCTCCTGGTCCCCTACTCTCCAACTGCTCTGTCTGTGCATATGGAATAAATGCATATTTTATGTTATCGATTCTTTGACTCCGCTGACTTTGCTGTCATGGGGGCGTCCATCAATTGTCAAAATGTCATACATTCTTAATGCCGCCTGAGCATTGAGTGCTACGATTTCGAACGACAATCAACTTTTTTCTTTGAATATTTCTCATCCCACTCAGGCCTTAAGTATATGCCTTTATTAAACAACGTTTTAATTAGACAAAATGTTCAAAATAACTTGCTAAATGTCTGCATTAATGTATATGTATATCATATAAGGAGCTTCCTAAAAATGGCAGGATATGTGACTGCCAACCGGCCAGAATGTACATATGGACATCGTTTGCGAGTTCCAATAAATGTTCATGACATTTGCTCTACTGGAAGGGGAGTTATCTCTCACAAAGTAGCACACAAATCGAGTAAAGTTTACCATTTACTAATACGAAGTTTTTTGTGTTAAGCTTGATAAATCTTTTATCGAAACGATTTAATTGTTGGACCAAGTTTATGGTGGTGATTGATTTTTTCGTAGGTTAAAAATAGTCGTGATGAAATTGAGATTTTCTCTTCAATAAATATATCGCCTTTTGTCCGATCGCTTAGGCTACAAAAAAGTGTGTGAATTGGCGACAAAGTTGCTGAAAATTCAATATACTTATGAAGGACATCATAAAGAAAAAAAAGGACACAAATACCCTTTACGACATCGTGAGTAGCAATGAAACGTGGCGTTTTCAATATGATCCCGAAATAAGGTGCCAGAGTCCCGAATAGAACCCGAAATATCTTGTTTGAAGAAGTCAAAAGTGAAGACAATGTTGATTTGATTTTACGATACAGAAAAAATGCGCCAACCGGCCAAACTGTTAGTGCAGAAATTTATCTTTTATTTTTCATCGATCGACACTTGCGTTATTTTCAGAAAAAAATCTCATTTCAATAATCAATTGCCCGATTTGGCATCGTACGACTTTTGCTTTCTCGGAAAAATGCATTTGCCAAGGGGATTTTTTTTTTTAAAATATGATTTTGCTTGTTGTTGTTGCTGTTGATTTTTCTTATTTTTAAAGAGCCATGTTTACTTTGGAACGCTTTTTCCATGCATACAATTAAATACAATTACTTGCTTTAAGTGAAATATTCTGCAAGTGTTATAAGTTATAACACTGGGTGCTTTTAGTTTATTCGATAAACAAATAAAACTGGGAAAAACATTTTATGTTTTGATTGTGAAGAGCTTCTTTGCCTCTTTAGCCTAATTGCTTTCATAACAAAATCCATTTAACCACAATAGTATAGTACTTATGTTGGGGGGTTCTGGCAATTACTAAAAAAAAATTATTTGTATTTTAAAACACTAACTGGCGTGGTCTTGTGTGGTGAAAAATCTGAAACAGGTGCATTTACCTGTTACATTTTCCATATTTGCAAATAACTGTCATGCTTCGGACTTCAAATCAACCAACCCAATCATTTCTTCATGAAAGTGCTAATAATAATTTTAGTTGTCGCTTTAAAATACCTATTTAAGAATTTAAATATCAAATATTCCTTTTGTGTAACACTTCAAATATAACTGGAGTGTTTTATACCGTTAAAATATTAGCTCTTCACTGCATTTTTTATTCGCTTACACTAAACTTGCAAATATTGAACTTTTCTCAAAATGGATTGATTGACAATGTAGAACGTGTTAATATAAACAACAATAAACAACAAACGGATGGACGTGTCCGGTTCTATACCATCTGGTAAGTAATGTACTGACATAGTTGTCAACGAACGATGAATTTGAATGCTACTGAATATCTTTACTTAATAATGGCGCTCATTCGATCAGCTGCGCCCGTCCCAATTAATTTATCAAGTAAACCTATTTACTACGAATTGACACATATTTTGAGATAAAATGTAAAAAATATATACATTGAGTATCCTTTGGTCAGATCTAGCGTGATCGACTCTTTCAATTTTTTGTGTTTTAAAATAGGTTGATTCCCCATATTATTTTTAAAATAAAGTAGTTAAACACTTTACACAATCTGTACAATTCTGCAGACTATTTGACATTTTGGCTATTTAGTTTTTAAAAAGGAAAAGAGGAAGGAAAATGCTGAAAAGTATAAAAGTTTTGCGTTGTCAAGGAATTGTGATACGCTCCAAGTGTGGTCGCTGTGGGTACAATGTGTTCAACCGGAGCGACGAGCGGACGAACAGGAAGACAGACACGTCTATTTGGTCGTTGATCGAACATTTTATGTTATAAGATCCATATACGGTGAATGCTGCTCATGCACTTTTGTTCCCAAGCATCGCGCGCATGCATATCCTTTACGATATTCAATTTCAAATTCGAATGCTTTAAGCGATTAAGTACATGCTTTACGCCACTTAACTTGCTGCCTGTCTATCCGCCGCTCTGTGTGGGAATATGTGTTTGTGTGGCGGTAACAATTCGTGGAACTTTAGCGACTACAGTTACTTGTTCTATCCGTGGAGCCCGACACTTGACTCCTCCGTCAGCAGCTCAGGCTCAGCCGCTGGCCGCGCGCCTCAACATCAACTTGTCGACATCAGCGACATGACATCGACATTGACGCCAGCTGTGACTGCGACTGCAACTGCGACGTCGGCGCCAACGCACTTAAGCGTTGAGTATGCTTGGGCCAGGCATATGGGTCGGGAATGAAGATAAGGATGGGCAAATGCGAAATGTTTTTTCGTGCTCAAGGACTTTTTGCGTTGTCTGCTGTCTTTCGCTCCAACCTCCGGAGGTCTTGGATATTTCATGGCAGGCGCCGTGCGTGCAGCTTAGCAGTTGTGAAGTTTGGTCCGCCCGGCTTGTGCGACAGATTTCGTTTCGGTTTATATTTCTGCTTGGCGGCTTTAAGCGGCTTAAATTGCGTATACGCCTCGTCTGTCTGTCTGTCTGTTTGTAATGGCCAATGCTGCGCTCACTCATTTCTTTGCGCTCTGTGTGGCACATTTATTTTGCATTTCTAGCACATTTATCGTTGCCCGGAGGCTCTGGAAACTTCCTTCACCTTAGTCTTACTTACTTTGACTACTCAATTATTATTATGCCGCCTTCCACACGTTTCGCAAAAGTTTAGCTGATGACATGCATAGCAGTTGTCTGCATATTTTCCTTCTCTATCACTTGCCAAGTCAGAACAGTCGCTCCTTGCCTCTTGCCCTTGCTCAGCTTTGTCAAATTATTCTTGTGGCCAATGCACTCGTGTGTGTTCTAATTTGTTTGCTTCGCATTTCTCTATGTGCCAAATTACACATACATACGAGTGTATTCAAGTATATAGTATAGTAGGTGTGCGTGTGTGTGAGTTAGTGTCGTTGATTGCTTCGGTCAGCTTTCTGCTCTCTCACTCTCCTCCTGCGCACGTGTGCGTGTCCATGCGCATTTTTAAGGTGCAAATGATTTCTTTTTTATATTATGCCAACAACTTTTTCCTGCCTATTGCTGACAAAGGCGGCCATTAGCCTAATTTTTACATTGTCGCTTGTTTGTGGAAGGAAAGGGGGATGTCCGGGGGTAGTCTGTCGACGCATTCAGTGTGTTGAAATTAAGAAATTACCATAAATGCCGAAAGCTTTGCGTCTTTTTGTTGCGCCGACAGGCATTGAAATATGAGGAAAAAATATTGTAGCCTACTTTTAGGGAGCATTGGAGAAAGTTTTTTTGCTGCCACTTTACTTTCAGCGAATCAAGCTTTATAAGTTTGTATGTACATGCAAAACCATGAACTGAATTAAATATAATTATCTTACGTTTCCATAAAAGATGAAACTTTCATACTCAGACACTAATCTTTCTTTTTATATGAAAAAACAGTATTCTGAGAGATACTAATATAATTTTCGTAATTTACAATTATATATAAATACAAAGCTTATTATTCAAAAAATATAAAAATATTTATGTTTATTTTTAATTTTGACAAGTGTAGGCAGCTGATATAATAAGGAGATAGATAAGAAGATATTGTCATCATTGTAAACATTAAGAACTGCAAAATATTTCAAGCTTTAATACAACAATGGTATCTAAAATGCTTGCAATACTAAGAAAATAAATGCCATAATTTTTGTCAAGATTTGATGAAATTATATAGTCTGAATATATATATTTTAAATGTATACTTAATTTGACAAGTATCAGATTTTAGATAAATTATTTCCCACTTCTTTTTATTCGGTGATCCCATTCTAATTTAAGAAAGAACATTAGTGACTTTGGTAAGTGTCTCGTCTGCCTATATATATCTACATTCCTCTGCTATTGGTCTTTTAACCAATCCGTATATTCTTCTAGTTGAGGGGATTGTCTTTCAAAAGTATCATATTTTCTGCCAGTCAATAATACATGCCCATGTATGAGCACTGACAAACAATGTTGAATTGATTGATAGATTTTTTTGTTTATTTTCTATGAATGAACTTAGTAAAATCCAT